TATTGTAGGATTCCATTTATATGGAATTAACCAGAATATGGGGCGCCTGGGGGGCTCATTGGTTAAGCATCTGACTCTTGGTTTTGGCTCAGGTCATGATCTCATGGTCGGTGAGATTGAGCCCCGGGTTGGATCTGGGCTGACAGCACGGAGTGTGCTTAGGATTTTCTCCCTCTCTCTTTGCCCTTCCCCTGCTCACCTTCTCTAAATGAACAAACACACAGATAAACTTAAAAAAAACAAATAACCAGAATAGGTAAATCCATAGAGATAGAATGTAGATCAGTGGTTGCCAGTGGCTGGGGGGAAGGGAGGATGGACAGTAAACTGCTTAGTGAGGGTGGGGTATTTTAGGGCAATGAATATGTTTTGGAACTTGATATAGGTGGTGGTTGTACACTGTGAATGCTCTGAGCTTCTGCACAGCAAAGGAAACAGTCAACAAAACTAAAAGGCAACTTACTGAATAGGAGAAGATATTTTCAAATGATGTATCTGATAAAGGGGTAGTATCCAAAGTATATAGAGAACTGATACAGGATGCCTGGGTGGCTCAGTCCGACTTCGGCTAAGGTCATGGTCTCACAGTTTGTGGGTTCGAGCCCCGCGTCGGGCTCTGTGCTGACAGCTCGGAGCCTGGAGCCTGCTTTGGATTCTGTGCCTCCCTCTTTCTCTCTGCCCCTCCATCACTCACAGTCTGTCTGACTCTCTCTCAAAAATAAATAAGCATTAAAAAATAAAAAATAAAAATAAAGAACTGATACAACTCAATATCCCAAACCCAAATCATCTGATTAACCATGGGCAGAATATGTGAACAGACATCTCTCTGAAGAAGACGCCCAGATGGCCAACAGACATATGAAACGGTGCTCAACATCATTCATCGTCGAGCAAATACAAATCCAAATCATGATGAGATACCACCTCACACCTGTCAGAATGGCTACAAGCAGAAACACAAGAAACAACAGGTGTTGGTGACATTGCAGAGACAAAGGAACAGTCTTGCACTGTTGGTGAGAATGCAAATGGGTGCAGCCACTGTGGAAAACAGTATGGAGTTTCCTCAAAAAAGAACTACCCTACCACCCAGCAATTGCACTGTGGGGTGTTTACTCCCCAAACACAAAAGCTCTAGTTCAAAGGGATGCCTGTAGGGGCGCCTGGGTGGCTTAGTCGGTTAAGCGTCCGACTTTCGCTTAGGTCATGATCTCGTGGTTCGTGGGTTCGAGCCCCACGTCGGGCTCTGTGCTGACTGCCAGCTCAGAGCCTGGAGCCTATTTCAGAGTCTGTGTCTCCCTCTCTCTCTGACCCTCCCCTGCTCACACTGTCTCTCTCTCTCCCACCTAGAAACAAATAAAAATATTTTTTAAAAAAGGGATGCCTGTACCCCCATGTTTATTGCAGCAGTGTCTACAATAGCCAAATGATGGATGGATAAAGAGTGGTATGGATAATAGAATAGTACTCAGGCATAAAAAAGAATGAAATCCTGCCATTTGCAACAACATGGATGGAGCTAGAGAGTATAAGGCTAAGGGAAATAAGTCCGTCAGAGAAAGACAAATACCAGATGATCTCACTCATGTGGAATTTAATACATAAAATAAGCAAATAAAAAGAATAAATGAAGAGAGATAGAGACAAACCAAGAAACAGACCCTTGGGCTGCCTGGGTGGCTCAGTCGATTAAGTGTCTGACTTCAGGTCAGGTCATGCTCTCTCGGTTCAGGGGGTTGAGCCCTGTGTCCAGCTCTCTGCTTTGGATCCTCTGTCCCCCTCGTTCTCTGCCTGTCCCACACTCTCGTGCTCTCTCTCTCTCTCTCAAAAATAAAATGAGTAAAAAAAGAAACAGACTCTTAACTACAGAGGACAAACTGATGGTTGCCAGAGGGTGGGTGGGAGTGTAGGGGGGAAACAGGGGATGGGGATTAAAGCGTACACTTACCGCGATGAAAAAAAAAAATGGAAAGAATACAAGAAAAAAATAAAGCGGCTAGTTTAATATTATGTGAAGTTCATCTAAAAAACAAAAAGAGACATGGTGGGGTACATGAGCGCTCTGGGGCCACCCCCGTTTCTCCAGGGGCTGCTTCAGGGACAAAGAGAAACTGGAGTCCCGTCTCCTGGCCGCATTACCGATGTCAGAACCCCCTGGGAAATTCTGGGGCTGAGTGGCAGTGTCCCGAGCCAAAGACTCTATTGCTTGCACATCCTCATGGGAATAGGTGAGCTCCCTGGTCCAGTTTCAAGGAGCAAAGTTTCTTCTCAAGTGGATCTCCTGAGATGTCCGCTGGCGCCTCCTCCCATTGCCAAGGCAACCGCCACTCCATCGGAAGAGGAGAGAGGCAGGAGAGATCTCAATGTGCTTATCTGTTTGTGGGCCCTCGGGGCCCAAGGGAGCTTTGTAAATGTCACCTGGAAGACTGGAGTTCCTGGGATGACATTTGCCATCCCCTGGGGCGTGGTCTGCAGTGTCCCGGGTCTCCCCACAGGATAACGTCGGGTTACATCGGAGGGGACGCAGGAAGGATGGCAGATCTAGTATCCAACCAGTGGCGAATCCCCAAGGAGGGGATTAATAGTGACCCGAGCTTGGAGGCTGAAGAAGGCAAGCGTGGGTTTCCAGCCCTCCCTGGGAACACGGAGGGTCTTTCTTCACCATAAAGGCACTCAGGAGAGGGACAGAAAGAGGGCAAAGGATCAGCTGAACCCGCAGGGGAGCTTGTCCGGGCTCCCCACGATGAAGAAGTGTGCCGCGTTAGCGAACTGAGGCAGAGGGCAGCCAGGAGGGTTCGGGGCGGTGTTGGTGACTGCTGAGCAGGGTGGCCTGGCCCCTCCTTGTGTTACCCAGTTTATGGCTCGCCCCGAATCCACCCGAGCTACACGTGGTCTCCTCACAGTGAGCCCCCAGTACTTCTTTTGCCTACCCCCTCCCCCCCTGCCCTTTCCCACAATGCTCTCCTTGAAAGAATATCCCTACAACCAAAGAAAACTTGGAAATAGGATCGCGGGCTCATTATTGCGCGTCTTTAAGAAGCCCCAGGGAAAGGAAGTGTTGAAAACCTGGTGCAGGCAAAGTGCCTTGATCTTTTATCCAAAGGGACATTGGAAATGACAGGCTGATGCTCGGGAGAATTTGACAGACAGCAGATTATGAGACAGGTGCTTGGGAATACTTATATATGAAAAAAGAAGTCTTCCTTTTGTTTGTGGCCTGGTGATGGGGGACACGGGACTCTTAGACCTGGTAATGACAATACTTTGCTGTGTCCTCTGGGCAATGCTGTAACCACTCCCCACCTTGCCTTTTCTCTAGATGTTCTACTTGAGTCTCACTTCTGTGGCAGGGTTGCTAGCCCTGGTGGGGGAGTGGGGGGTGTCTTTAGGGTGCCTGCAATGTCTTTGGGCTGGGAACAGTGGGCAAGTGGTATAGGCTTGTTGAATGGGATTTAGATTTCCTGAACACCAACGTGGGGGTTCGTGGAAGGAGATAACGCAATGTGGAAAATAGCCAGTAAGGCTAGAGCCTAAAGCAGTAAGTTCAAATCCCACCTGTGTCCCCTACTGCGGCTGTGGGCAGCTCTTTTAGCTTCTCGGGGTCTTAATGGCCTTATCTGATCAATGAAGATGATAAATGATATACACAGGAATGTAAGAATTAAACAGACATCAGAGCACTATCACAGTAAAAATTATGTTTTGAGCCTTTGTTAAGCGCCAGGCATTGTGCTAGGCATCCCTTTTCTTCCTATGCATTTCGACATGTAACCCTCATAACCCCATGAGGGTTATAACTCCATTATTATGTCTACTTTATGGACTAGGAAACCAGTCTCAGGAATGGTGTGTCCAAGGTCATCTGCTAAGGGACACAGACAAGGCTGAAATTGAAACCCACGACAGGCTGATTAAAGAAGACACTGGAATGGAGGCACCTGGGTGGCTCAGTTGGTTGAGCCGCTGACTTTGGCTCAGGTCATGATCTCAGAGTTTGTGGGTTCGAGCCCCGCGTCCGGCTCTGTGCTGACAGCTTGGAGCCTGGAGCCTGCTTCGGATTCTGCTTCTTCCTCTCTCTTTCTGCCCCTCCCCAGCTTGTGCTCTGTCAAAAATAAATAAATGTTAAAAAAAAAAAAAAAAGAAGAAGAAGCAGCCGCTGGAATGACCTAGCACAGGGGTTCCCAAGCCTGAATATGCATCAGAATCCCCTGGAGGGGCTGTTAAAATACCTATCGCTGGGCCCCACCCTACAGTTTTTCACCCAGTAGTGCTGGGGTGAGGCCCGAGAATTTGAATTTCTAGCAAGTTCCCAAGTGATGTTGATGCTGCAGGTCTAGGACCACTTTCTAGCGTCACTGCTCTACAAAAGAGTAGGTACTAAGCAGGGGGCCACTCAAAAAATAAGACCGAGCCTGTAAGAGTGGTCAGGCCAAGTGGCACGCACCGGGCAGAAGGCGCAGGCGTGGGTTCGAATCGTGACCCCACCGCGAACGCGTGCCCATCGAAGCAGGGCTACTTGAGAAGCACGCTCTGAGGCCACGCGGGGTAAGCGCCTGGGGCTCCAGGACCAGCGTCCTGGGCCCTCTGACCACCCCGGGCTCTGGGCTGGGCTCCCGGGCCCGCGGTCGCGCGCACCTCTCCGTCCGCGCGCACCGCGGCCTGGGCAAGCGTTGCCATGGCAGCGCCGCGGGCCGGGATGCGGGAGGCCGGGCTCGCCCCTTTGTGCCGCGGGGGCGGCGGCGGGCTCGGGCCCCCGGCAGGGGGAGGGGTGGAGGCTGCGGGGTTGCAGGGGCCGGGGGAGGCGCGAGTGGGGGCCGGGGTGCGGCGCCTCCGCCCGCCAGCCGCTCCCGCATTAAAATTTCATGGGCGCTGCAGCAGCTACAAAGGCGACGCCGGCTGCGCTCGGGGGACCAGTGGGAGGGAGGCTGCGGACGAGTGCGGGGAGGAGTTTGCGAGGGGAGGCGCTTGCGGGGCTCCCCCAGTTCTGCGCCGCGAGCCCGGGCACAAAGAGCCCTCTGCACTCGCGCCGCAGGACCGCGGACCCGAGGTAAGCCGCCGCCCGGGGCTCGCAGCCCTCCCTGCCTCAGCGCCCTGGGCCCGCGCGGGGAACAGCCTACGTCCCCGAGGCCGGGGTCGCGGGCGGGGCCCAGGGACCCAGGCAGTGTCCAGGGGGTGGCAAAGGCTGCCTCATCTGCTGGATGGAGAGCGTCTGCCGCCCGCACTTGCCCTGGGTGGGGCTTGGGGGCCTGAAGGGAGGCTGCGCCCGGAGTCTAGCGCGGGTAGGGGTCTTGCAGTCCCGCTCCGAGGGCGAACAAAGACACCCCCCAACCCCCCCCCCCAGCCCCCGCCTCCAGCCAGACAAGTCGGGACCCTGGACCTGCCTGGGCCACCAGGTTAGCAGCTAACTGGCCAAGCCCCGGACAGAGCCCGTAGGGCTCAGAAACTGGGGGTGGGGGTGGGGGGCTCGAACCCCTCTTCCCTCACAGCGAGCCCAGCGCCCAGGGCCTGCCCATGCGCCAGCGGAGGGACTCAGGTTCCAGATGTGCGGCGGGCTGGGTGGGTCCAGCGGGGTGGGGAAGACCGGAAACCCACCTTCCTGGAGAATACCGGCAACATGATCGTAAGAATAATACATCAGTTCATGGAGAGCTTACTTTGTGCCAGCAACGCGCGTATGCTTTGCCCGCATCGCCTCAACCGTCCCACGAGAGGGTGAGAGCCCCATTTTAAAGATGAGGACACTGAGATCCGGAGAGGGTTGGGTACACGTCCAAGGTCACACAACCAGCGACTTTGCGTTCCAGGCACGCAGGAGTCTAAAGCCCGTGTCGTATCCCCAAACGGGTCTGGGGAGCCCTCTCCTCCCCAGGACTCTCTCTAGAGAGGCTGGACATCGAAGCGGGAGGTGCCAGATCTCCTGTCCCCCAGCGGAGGGTCCTGGGCTGGAGAAATTGCTTCTCGGACTCGGCAGGGAGAGGCCTGGGGACGGAGGGGGTGGGGGGTGGGGAGGCTGGATTCCCTACCCTCATCCCAGGCCCCAGACCAGCGGCTGCCGCGCGCAGAGCAGATTCCTGGCGCGCGCACCCCACTGCAGTGCCGCCGCGGGGAAAACGCCCCCACCTGCTGCTGGGGGAAGGGGGCAGGGGAGCGAGGCCGTAGTGCGGGGAGGGATGGGGCGAGGAGGGGAGAAAACGTGCCGGGAGAGGCTTTGTTTTTCTGGGTGCCAGTCCGACTGAGCGCCAACCCGGGGCAGAACGCCGGTCCGGGCACCGCGCTTTAGTTTCCAAAGCGCATTCCCCTTCGGGAGCACCTGGGAGCTTAGCGATCGCCTGGGTTTGGTGGGGGGAGGGTGGGCAGGGGGAGGGGGGTGAGTGATTCCACTTGACTGACCGGGAAACCTGAGGACAGGTGGTTCTCAGACTTTAGGGGCGTAGCTTCAAATATGCAGATATCCGTGCACGCGGTCAGGGGATGAGTCAGCAGGACTGGGGTGGGGCTGGGCACCTGGGTGTTTACTTGGACCCCTCCTCCCCCTCATCAAGCAGGCGGCCGGACCATCCTTCCAGGGAACAGTACCCCAGTACCCCAACCTCTCCCCCTCCTCCCCCCACCCCCACCCCAGCGCAGAACCGTGTCGCAGTCTTGGCAAAATGGTTCCCCCCGGGGCAGCTTACCGGTGCCTAGCTTTGGGTGGCATTGAGCTCATCCCACGCCGACTTTGATTAAGTCTCCGGGTAACAGCCCCTCTGCCCCTCCTCACCTGCCTTTTGTTATTTGATCACCCTGGTCATCCAGAAGGGTTCTGAAAATCTCCCCTGCATCCTGATGGCTGCGTTTTGGGGTCTGTCTCTCCACTCTTTCCCGGAGGACAGAGCTGGTCTTCAGAGCCCCCCAAAAGGAACCATAGCTCCTTACAGGAGCTTTAGAAGAATCACTCTCTGTGCCTGCATTTAAAATGAGAGTTTTATAATTTTTTTGGTGATTTTTCAAAGAATTGGTACGTTTAATAAAATGGATGATAACTGTAGAAGGTTGGAAAAGACAAACATGTTTTACTCATTCCCTATTGTTGGATCTGCTAGTTGTTTCCATTTCTTTCCTCCCTCCCTTCCTTCCTTCCTTCCTTCCTTCCTTCCTTCCTTCCTTCTTTCCTTCCTCCCTTTCTTTTTTTCTTTTTTTTTTTTTTTACAACTTCATTCTTTAAAGCCCCTTCTCTGGATCTGATCTGTGCTTCCGCCCAGGACAAGATTATGCTGTTTGAATTTATCACTCATAGAGACGGTGTGGTGTGCTGGAAAATAAAAGGGGTTGAGAGTTACACAGTGTGAATCCTTCTCCCCACCTACTTTTTAGGTCAACTTCAGTCAGGAAGCCCTTTCCCTCTTCTGAGCCTCAGTCCCCTCATCTGTAGAGTGGGAATCAGAATTCCTGGCTTAGGAGACTGTTGTGAGGCTACAAAGCAGTGTGTGTAACACGCCTGCAGGTGCTTAATAAAGATGTTACTGCTGCATCTGCCCACGGTACTGGCTGGTGCACTTCCGTGGCCCCCGCATCTTGCATGGACGCCTAGTTATTTGATTTTATTTGTATTAGGGCTGTTGGTCCCTCTACTGGGTGACCCTTGGGCTCTTTGAGCAGGGGCGTTTCTGGAGCCCTGGGTCCATTGTGCAAGTTCAATGGGCGGGTAAATAACTTATAGGCTAGTCCTTTGTTCCCAAGGGGATCCTTCCCCTTGTCTCCGAGGCCTGGCTCATCTGACAGCTGGAGCTCTGTGGAACAATGGCCAGAGATACACAGGGACAGACGCAAAGGGCGGCTGAGACTGACATCTGTCTCTGCATCCCTTTGCAGGCTGATCAGATCTGATGAAACAGGTGTCTGCTCCCTGCTTTGTGGTCCAGGTGGGCCCTGGTGGGAGCTGGACGAGTCATGGAAGGGAGGGGGAAACTGAGTCTGTGTGCACTCGAAGGTATGGATTAGATAATGAATGGTAACCAACGCCTTGACAAGTAAGTGACAGGTTATTTACCAGGGTTCTTGCTGGGCACTGCCTCCTGGAGACCCTGTGAAAAGGCTGGGAATTGGGCATTACAGATGAGAACCTGAGGCTCAGAGAGGTGGAGTGACTAGCCCAAGATCACACAGCCCGTTAGAAAGAGAGTCAGGACTTGCTCCTGGGTCTTGGCGGACCCTGGAACGTGTTTATAATGACTACACTTCACCACCTCCTCTTCTAAATGTCCACTTAATCATTTGCCTTGAGACCGTGGAAGTAACTGGAATAAAATGACTCGAGATGGTTGAGCAATCATGGACCAGGTCCTCACAGTAGTGCTGACCGTGGTGTTGTGGTTCACACACGCCTTCCTCCGGTCTTGTCCCATTTCTAATTCCCACCCCATGTTTGAACCCAAGTCTTCTGCTCCTTTGGGGTTCAACAAGCCTGTTTAGAATCCAACTGCACCCCTTCCTAGCTGGGTGATGTGGGATCAAGGCACTGGACTCCGAACCTCAGTTTCCTCATCTGTAAAGTGGGGACAATAAAACCCAACTTATTCTTTTGCCAGGCAGGTGAAAGTGCCCCCAGTTGGTATCTGCCCTCAATAAATGTTGGTTTAGCTTCTTTCTCCTTCTTTGGCTCTTCCCTCCCCCGTCCGTCTCCCCCCAGCCCTGCCCCCTCGCCAGAGCTCAGGGGAATTTCGGATCTCTTCTTTTGTGTGTGCCCTGTTTGCATTTGTGCGGGAGCAGGGCTTTCTGCGGCTCTGCAGATGAGTCTGGCTCCCTCAGCAGTCTCCTGCACATCTTGTTATTCCCAGGGGTTCCTCGTTTCCGGGCACTCACTCATCCAAAGCAATTTAGGCCAACATCTCCCGTACACCAGCTCTCTGAGCAGCTATTTTATTCCGGAGTCAGGGAAAAAAAAAAACCCCAAAACCCCAGAGGGACCCTAAAATGCAACCCAATGCATATTTCCCTGGTAGCCGTTCCTCCGTTACCAGGAACGGCACAGAGTTCGGGGGGGGAGGAATGAATATCCCACAGATGGTGTTAATGAGCCGTGTGTGCAATGGTGTTACTAACAGTGTAAGAAAATAACAGGATACAAGCTAATAGGTAAGTATTTATCGTCCCGTGTACTCCGCACTGCGGCCTTGTAAGGTGGGTGCCGTTGTGGACAAGGGGACAGGCCCAGAGGGGTGGTGCGCTTCCTCAACGTGGCACAGCGGAACGGGACCCGGACCGTGAAGCCTGTGTCCCGTCCAGTGCATTACGATGTTTTGGTACCAAGATGCCTCCTGGTTTCCTGTTTTGCTTCCGATCTGAGGAGGTCTGTTTTGGCAGATGCTGTGCTTTCAGAACAGGACCTTGGCCATTTATTCTCCAACCTACTCATGGGTCCATATTTATTCCCCTGCTCTTCTCTCTCTGACAGCTGGGGGCAACTCCCTGCCCAGCTATGTGCTCTAGACATGTCTACGTGGGCACCATGACCCCGACAGCCTCACAGGACTAACCAAGGTGGCCCTGGGATAATGGTCGCCGGCTTCCTGCTGTGAAGTCCGTCTGTGTGGACCCCCTGAATCTCAGAGGTAGGAGGGCCCTCTAGAATCCTCTGGGGCCCAGTCCCCGAAATCAGAGCTTCCCTGATGGGGCTCCTGACCTCGGCTTGAAGTGGGGGGTCATGAGGGCTAGTGGGAGCCGAGGACCCTGGGGCCCACCATGAGGTCTCTGTATGGCGACCTGACTCTTGTAGATTCTTACCTCTGTTGCCACCTCTCAAGGACTTGTGATAAGTAGCTTTATTGATTATCATTTCCACACAATAAAATGCGCCCATTGAAAGCATACATCTCAACGTGTTTTGCCAAATGTAGACACCTGTGCAACCATCACCGCAGTCAACAGCTGGGACATTTTTATCATCCTTAAATGTCCCCTCATGTCCCTTCCCTGTCTGTCCCCACCCCCCCAGCCCCAGGGAACCACTGGTCTGCTTTCTCTGCCTATAAACTACGCTTGTTTTCTCCAAAGTTCCATTAATGTGGAATCTTTGGCGTTCGGCCTTCCTTCGCTCAGGATTAGGTTTTGAGGTTCATACCTGGTGTTGCACGGATCAGTAATTAGGTCCTTTTTGGGTCTGACTTTACAGAGACGTGGTTGAAATGTCATAGAAGTCCTCGCAAGGGCACAGTTCAGTGATTTATCGTCAGTTCACCAAGTTGAGCGCTCAGTGCCACCCGTCTGTCGTAGGCTATTTCCACGGCCTGGTAAGTGTCCTCCACACCCCCTTGCTGCTAATGGCTGCCTCCCACCCTGGATCCCAGACGGCCTCTGATCTGCTCTCTGTCTCTGTAGGTCTGCCTTTTCTGGACATTTCATCAAAATGGAGTCAAGCAGCACGCGGCCCCTCCTGCCTGGCTTCTTTCACTCTGCGTTACATTTTCGAGGTTCGTAGGATGTCGCATCCCTTTGTTCCTTTTGAATGGTGAGTAGATTTCATGACACCAACGTATGATCATTTGTTTATCCTTCCACCACGACGGGATTTTAATAAAAAAAATTATTTAAAGTTTATTCATTTTTAAGAGACAGAGTAGACAGCGTGAGCAGGGGAGGGGCAGAGAGAGAGGGAGACACAGAATCCGAAACAGGTTCCAGGCTCTTAGCTAGCTGTCAGCACAGAGCCTGACGCGGGGCTCAAACCCACAAACTGTGAGATCATGACCTGAGCTGAAGTCGGACTCTCAACTGACTGAGCTCCCCAGGGGCCCCTGACAGGATTTTAACTGGACCTGTGTTACCTACCTGGTGTATACGCACCCCCACACTGGGGGGCACATCCTGGTGCAGGTAAAGATGGCCCACGTCTCTGGGACATCAGCGTCACACGAAGATTGGAGCAAATGGTGAGAACAAGTTTTGGAGCGCTCGCTGTGTGCCAGGCGCTGGCTAAGCCTCTGAGAATAATTAATGTCGAGTCACACATTGGGTACGGGGCACTGGGGAGCCGTGATCTCACCTCGCTCGTCTCACCTTAATGGCCTTGCCTTCCTTTCTACCCTCCTAGCGAGCTTTCAGCTTAACCCCTGGGCTGAGGTTTCCCTTGAAACCTTCATCGCCTTGTCGATATCAGGGTCCACAGGGCCAGGGGAAGGGCCGTGGTGTCAAGCAGTGCTCCCGTGAGCACCCTGGGGTCTCTTTACAGCATTTGGCAGGCTCCTGGGACAGAGGCGAGAGAAAGGGGATTTCCGAATTCTTCCTGAACATTCGTGACCACCCTGGGAGGCAACCTGACAGATAAGTATTCCGACTCACCAGCCTGTGGCCCAACCCCCTGCCTTGTCTAAGTCTGTGCAGGAAAGCACAGAGCCTCACAGTCCTCACGTGGGAGGGGAACTTGGTGATGCTACTTTCCAATCTCTCTGTGTCACAAGCAAAGACCTTGTCCACATTTTATAGGGCCCCAGACAGGGGTGATCTTCACACCCCGCTTTTTGTCACGGAGGCTAGCATTTTATCAGTGTCACCATCAGGAACTTCTGTAGGCTTGAGTTTAGTGACCTCCCCTTGAGTCCCTGGCTATCTGGCATCAGAGGAGTCAGAAGAAGACTGGGGACTCCGGGCAGCTCGTGGCTTCTCGCTTCTGGCCCTTTGTCGTCATTATTTGTGAAACTTGTCCAGGGCCCCCTTTACCTGGCAGTTGGGCGGGGATGCCAACAGTGTGACCATGGGCCACATTGTTTTCTCCAGGTCTAGACCTGTGCCCCGAGCCTCAGGTGCCAATAGAGAGTGCTGGACACACACCGAGCAGTCCCCCGACTCTGGGCACGGTCTGCCGGCTGGTGAAGATAGCTTAGCTGTCACAGTAGCAAACCCCAGGATGTGATTCTGGGTCAGGGTTAGCAGGCAGATGGGGACAGATAAATAACTGAGGCTGAGCCGTAGGCCCTCACCCCAACTTCCCGTCCACCGCCTCAGACTGTGGGTTAGTACTGTGCATTCTGGGTAAACACAGGAATGGAAGGATCCCAGGGCTCAGAGAGGGAGAGAAAGAGAGAGACAGAAAGAGAGAGAAGGGCAGGCTTCCCTGGGCTACACAAGATGGCAGAACTGAATCCAAGCTCTAGATTCCCAACTCCGCTCCCTGTTTCCACTCAGTTGTGGCCAAGCTGAACTTGTCTTACTTTGTCCTGGGTCCCCTTCTGCTCTTGTCGGGGAATAGGGAGGTGGGCGAGGGAGCCCCCCCTTATCTCGAGGACCCTCTGGGGTGGGACTAAGGGAGGCGGAAGGCAGATGTGCCTGGGCCAGCCTCCCTGGCTCTGGGGCCTTCTAGCTAGCAGAGACTTCTGGCCGGTTCGGGCATGGGGAGGGGGCCTGGGTGCAGTCTCCTCCTGCAGCGTGGTGGGCTCTTTTGTCTTCCAGGATGGGATCCACATGAAGGAGGAGCCAGGAGCTGGGTCTGGGCTGCCGACATGCCATCTGGGTGCAGCCGGGTAAGCCTGGATAGGCATGGGAGGGAAGGAAGTTGCACTGAGCTCAGTTTTATGGGGGATAATCATCCCCCCAGCCAAAACCCTCCCCAGGGTCTGGCCAGAACACTCCTGTTCATGAGAAGAAGGCCCAGGAGGTGGGTGGCTGGAGGGCTTGTTCCTGGCGGGGGTTTTGGGGTCCAATCAAGACCACAGTGGGTGCATTACAGCAAGATTTCAGTGCGTCCCTTCATTCAGCACAGACATGGACTGAGCGCCTTCTCCAAGCTCAGATCCCAGGGACCCAGAGGTGAATACCAGAGACATGGCTCCACCCTCTCAGACCCTCACGTAAGAACATGCATTATCACAATCTCAGCGAGGGAGTGAGCTCCCTGTCCAGGGAGGTGTGCGTGTGTGTGTGCGTGCATACTGGGCGAGGGTCATCCGGAAGTCCCCTCAGTGGGGACATTGTAAAGGGGATCCCAGCCTCCTGGAGACTCTGAAGGCTCTTTCTGCCCACCTGAGCCCTCGCCCCTTTTCTGCCCATGATGCCCTTGGCCTTGCTCTGGGCCTTTCTGTTCCCTGAGCCAGCCCTGCCAGGGTGGGGAACCTCTATTCCTGAGTTTCTTTTAAAAGTCCTCAGTGTCTAAACATTTTTTTTAATGTTTTATTTATTTCTAGGAAAGAGAGAGAGAGAGACAGCGTGAGCAGGGGAGGGTCAGAGAGAGAGGGCGTCACAGACTCTGAAACAGGCTCCAGGCTCTGAGCTGGCAGTCAGGACAGAGACTGACGCGGGGCTCGAACCCACGAACCGCGAGATCATGACCTAAGCAAAACTCGGACGCTTAACCGACTAAGCCACCCAGGCGCCCCAAAAGTCCTCAGTGTCTAAAGCCCCCTAGACAGGCTGAGGGTCTCTGAAGGTGTCCCCCTCCCTCAGATGTGGCATTAGGTTGGGGGATGTGGGGTGCGGGGGATGGAGGCTGAGCCTGCGTCCTAACTCGCTGCATTTCCCCCAGGTGGCTCCGCCCAGCCCCGGCTCCAGGACTCCTGCCTGGTCTTCCCTTTGGAGCCCCGGTGACGCTAGACTCCAGCCACGGTGACACAGGAAGCAGCCTTTGGTGGTTTTCTCGAACTCTGGACAATTCCCCAAAGACATCCTCCTTCCCAGCTGCTAACATAGAGGCTCCTGTGGATGAAGGCCCCTCCTGGCTGGCGCTCGGCTGAGGACAGGCCCTAGCTCTGGAGGACAGCCCGAGGGAGGCGTGAGAGGGAGCCCGGCAGCCCACAGCCCCTCTGTGTCCACCTGGACCCCGCCTTTGGGCCTTGCCGTCTGGGCCTGGAGGCCGCTTCTCGCCCCCGCGCCAACTTGGTTCCTGGCTGCGGCCCTGCGGGTGGCCAGCCGGAGCCCCCCGCCCCCCCGCCCCGGGCCCCACTGACCACACCCTCACCAAGGCTGGGCCCTACAGGATGGTGCGGGGACACGGGCAAGGGGGCCAGGGCGGGGCTGCGGGGAGGACAGACGGCTTTGTGGGCTGTCGGCCGGAGTCTGGCTTGCGCCGTTCACCTGGAGTGATTCTCATTTTCGTGGGTGCTTTTTGGATGAGGCTTTTCTGTGCTTCTCCTCTGCCTCAGGTTCTGGGAGGAGCCCCGGCCAGGGGAGCTCGCCGGAGGGAGACAGAAACTGAGCCTTATTCCCACCGTCCACAGGGACCGGGCTGAACGCAGACTTGTCCCCAGGCTTGAGGGGTCGGGTCACCCCAGCCCCATGTCAGACCCCTGCTCCCTGCTGCACTGATTCTTCATTCTGTCCTTGGGGTGCAAAGGCAGGCAGGATGGCCCCGTGTCAGGCGGCTGCAGGTTCACCTCCAAAAGCACCTCTCCATTCTCCACTCCTCCCAGCCCCGTCGGAGGGGACGGTCTGGTGCTGGCATGGGAGGAAGCCGGGGTCCTCCACAGGCAAACTTCAGAGCCGGGGGCGCTTTTCCTGGGTGGAGAGGGAGCCTGTGTTAGCTCAAGCCGTTGTGACAGAACAGCACAGCCTGGGGGGACGGGGGGCACTCAGACAGCAGAAATCTGTCTTCTCGGAGTTGCGGTAGTTGGAAGTCTAAGATCAAGGTGCCAGGGTTGGCTTCTCCTGAGGCCTCTCTCCGCTGCTTTCGCAGATGGCCACCTTCTCGCCGTGTCTTCCCGTGGCCTTTTCTCTGTGCACACAAATGGGATGGGGGGGCGGAGTGAGGAGGAGGGACAGATCTGGCATCTCTTTCTCTCTTTATAAGGAGGCCAGTCCTATCAGATTAGGGTCCCATGCTAATGGCCTTGCTGAACCTTAATGTCCTCTGTAAAAGTCGCATCTCTGAATACGGCCACATTGGGGGGTTATGGCTTCACCTTGTGAATTTGGGGAGGGGGACGCAATCCAGTCCATACAGAGGGTCCCCATAGATGTGAGAAGCTGGAGCCATCTTCCCTTCGGCACCCCCGCTGCCAGAGGCAGGGTTAAGAAAGAGCAGAGGAATGGGGAGTTAGGGACAGAGTGCAAGAGGCACCAGGCTATAGGGACACGTGGAACTGACTCGGCCAGGGCAGCGAGAGGGAGCCCCAGGAGAAGGAGGGCCTGCGACGAGCCTGGGCTTTGGAGCCAGAGGAGGCACGTCTGGCTGCTGAAGCAGGACACATCTCCTCCCCCGGGGGGCGCAGGGAGGGTTCAGGCCAGGCGCATACCTGCCCGGGGCTGGCGCGTTCCTCATGATACACTCCGGTCCCTTTCGGGGTTTAGATTTAGGGCTTGTCTATTTTTGGTGTTCTCAAAGTGCCCCCTCAGCATCTTCTGACCCGGAAGCACTTCTGAGTAGCCTTTCCCCTGCCATCTGTCTTGAATCAGCTTGGGGAAGTGGGTGCACTGCCTGGCCTTGGGTGTGGTCCCAAATGCCTCCCGGGGTATCCTCTCATCAGGGCTGAGGACCTACTCTCGGCCCTTTCCTGTGCTGGTCCCTTGCCGGGAGGGATATAGGCGAAGCTCTGGCCATGATGGAAACCTTCAGGATTGCACAGGCCATGCCATTAGCATAGGGCGAATTGGAGAACAGGGAAGAGAACAGTCCACTGAGGCGCAGCTTCTGAGTGCTTGGTCGGAATGAGGGTGGGAGTAAGATCCTAGAATGACCTGGACAGACTTTCCGGCAAGGCTGAACCAACCAGGGCTTTGAAGGATGAGAAAGATGTGGTTTAGCTGACAGCTTCCGGGTCCCTGGAGGAGATTCCCAAAGTCAGTCCTAGGAGGCACCACTGCTCTTTAAAAAAAAAAATTTTTTTTTTTTGTAAAGTAAGTTCAAATTCCACAGGTTTCTAAAATGCAGGACTTATCAAAGCCTTGAAAGTGCAGATGGGAACTGTGAGGACTCAAGGGCAGACAGGACTCCGGGTCTTCCCCGTTGATGGCAACAGAACCCTTTTCTTATGCAGCGTCATTTAGAACAGTGGGGGAAGGGGGAGCAAGAGGCTGGGGCTTCTGTGGGGAAACCACAGCGCGGACAGGCAAGGACACAGCTCGGCACACATTCGGGGGCTCTGTAGGCCCAGCTGGAAAGGCAGCAGGCGGGAGGGGCGGGGGGGAGTCGGGACTGGGTTCCGGGGGTCAGGTGAGCTCTATGTGGTTTTGGTCCGGCAGGAGGCAGGGCTGGGGCAGGCCAGTGGCCGGGGTAGCCAGCAGCCTGGCAGGTGGGGGAGGAGACGTCCGCTGGACATAGTAGCGCCTCTGGACCAGATGCCACTGGGGCCTTCCGGCCTTTTGTGGGAAGACGCTGGTGTGTGCGTGTGTGCGTGCCTGGGTGTGACAGGAGCCGGCCTTCTGGGAAGGGGCTGACCAGAACCGGGCACGGGTTTCCAGCCCGGACAAGCAGATTCTCTTCAGGGAACCGACGTGTTTTTGGGGGAGGGTCCCTGAGGCCTGTGGCCACGGGAAGCGAAGTGCTTTGGGGCAGGGTCCGCGGGATAGGCTTGAGTCTGGTGGTGCTGAGGAGCTTGGAGGCGGACCCCCGCCCTGGTCAGGCCCCGCTCCCTGGCTGGCGGGGGAGCGGGAGGCTCCCCAGCTGCAGCCGAGCGGCTGGGACAGTGTTGCATGGTGTGATTAACCTACTAACCCAGGGCTCGGCCGGGACGCTGTGGCGTGTGACGAGGTGCCTGGCCTTCTGCCAACCGACTAACCCACTAACCAGGCCCGAGCATGACCTACTAACCCTCCCGCAGCCAGACCCTACTAACCTTGCAGCTCATGGGCCTTTCGAGGGGCTGGGACGTGGGTGCAGACGACGCTCCAGGAGGCCGAGCCCGTGGCCTGGGATCTCTGTGCAGACCCACTTTCCGGGACAGGGCATGCAAACAGGACTCGCCCACCCTGCTGAGCCATTTGGAGCAAGCCCCCTAACCTCTCTGAACCCGTTTCCTCAGCAGCAGAACGGGACTACTGATTTCACCTCAGAGGTTGCAGCAAGGACGCCCATGAATGTAAAGTTCTTGAAACATGGCAGATACTTAAAAATATATTTAAGAGTGAGGGTGGGGGCGGGGAGCCCAGAAAACCCGATTGAGCACGTCCCCCGCCTTGGCCCTGGTCCCTCTGGGGTGTTCTGCACACAGACCCTCCCGCCTGGGGCCAGACTCTCGCTTTGAACCCTGTCTCTTCCCCACATTCTTCCTCCTTCCCAGCTTTCTTTCCGTAGGCAGCTCTTTTGTTCGATTACTAACCTGTCTAACCCCGGGGGGGAAGGGGGTCAAGTGCACCCCGACCGCCCCTTAACTGACTAACGGACCTGCGTGTGTTCTCCCTTTTCTCCTAGTGACTCCTGTGTGTGTCGGCTGCGGTGCCCCGTCCGCTGGTGCTGTGCTCTGACTTACTAACCCGGCCCCTACTAACCTGGTTATCTCTTCTTACTAACCCAGCCCTGCCGAGCTCTGGGCGCCCCTCCTTTGGCAAGCAGAGGCCCTGGGGCTGGTCCCGCAGGCAGGTGTCCCGCTTTGCCGCCCCGAGTGGCTGGGAGTTCAGAGTCCACCGGGCCAGGTCCAAGGCAGGGGACAGCCCTACTTAACCACGTGAGTGGCCCAGAGGAGGAGACGGTCTTGGGGAGCTAGGAGGCTGGTCTCTGAGCAAGAGCGAGCATCTCTCCGCTGCCCAGATGTCTGGGGGCCACTGGGAGTGGGCGGGGCCAGGGCAACCTCTGGGGTGTGAGTGTGGAGGCCTGTGGGTGTAGAGCACGGAGTACTGGGCTTTCCCCGCCAACAGGCAGAGAAGGGGGCTTGTATCCTTTTCGGAAGGATGCGAGGATAGAATTCCTGACCCTGGAAAGCAGCACGTAGACGCACGGTCCGGCACAGGAAGTCAATGGCGGTGCGTGTCGGAAGTCAGTGGAGGGGGCGTGGCCTACGCCGGAAGTCAGCCAGTGGAGCCGTCCCCTTCATAAGGAAGTCAACGAAAAGGGGCTTTCCCACCCTGGGAACCACTGAGCGGAGCACTTCGTACCGGAAGTCGGCCAGAGGGGCATTTCTCACACCGGAAGTCGCTGAAAGGGGTGGCCCCCCTTATCACCAGGCATGAGACGGGATGGCCAAGAGATCAGTGTGAAGGGCCTTTCCTACAAGGGCAGTTGGCTAGAGGGGCCCTTCCCATCCCTGAAGCCAGGTTAGATGTGGGCCAGCTGGAGGTACACGGGGCCAGTTTTTCACACCGGAAGTCCTCGAGAAGTATGCCCACACGGGGAAGCTTGAGTAGACAGGGAAAAAAGCACATCGGCCCTGGGTTCGGGGCTCGCAGGAGGAGGAAGTGGGAAGCAAGACGTGAACCCCAGAGGCCCGCACGGTCCGGCAGTCCCTCGGGCCAGCCAGAAATTCGTCCCCTGGCTCCCTGTGCTGTTCCCACCCATGCCCCTGCCCCAGCTTGCCTTCCCCAGAGCCCGCCAGCCGCTAAAGCCAGGGCCACACCTGGGGGTGATTTTATGCCTCACCTCCAGTAGGCACCTTGGCCTGTCTCTTTGAGCTAATCTCTGGCTCCTTTGCACTAACTCTGGCTCTCGCCCAGCTAACCCCTGCCTCGCCCTGGCTGCCCCTGGGGGCCGGGGGGTTGCCCACTAACAGCCAACCCTGCCCATCTGGGGGCCCCAGGTTCCTGGCCTGGCTCTGACCGGCTCTTAATTAACCTCTCCTTCACCTTGACTAACTCCTACCCTCCTGGTCTGTTCCTTTCAGCGGAAACTAACGGCTTGTGGATTTCTTTCTGACTAACAACAGGTCTAACACTCCTTGTTACTGTTACTGTTAACAGCTTGGATGTCGGCAGGGCGTGGAGGGGGCTGACACAGGTTTGGAACTGGACTAACCC